AGGCAGGGGGTTATTACAGATGGAGGGGATGGGTGACGTCCCCGTGACAAGCTTGCTGAAGGCCTAATCATGTATTGTTTCTAGAAAGCTCTTGCCCGGCCAAACTGTTGGGCAAATTTCCCCCCGGCTACTATGGGAAGGGAAATGGAGTTTATTGGCATAAACCCTCCCAAAGCAGAGCTGACGGTCAGCCAGATCCATGCTTCCTGAGATAGGAATAAAGGCCAGTCTGAGTGCCTGCAAACTTGTGGCCTAGACAATCTCCCAGAGGCTTTCTGGGAACCCGAGTCACAGCACACACTGGCTGGTGGCTGGGAGTTGTTAGGGTAACACAAGTGATGCAGCTAGCCTGGAAAGCCCCTCTCGTGTTGCTAGCTGTGAACAGCTCAGCCCTTCCCAGTTTACCTTTGTGGCTTGTTCAGCCAGTTCGCGATGGGGAGCAATTCGGTGTAGGTAGTTTTGCATGGCACCTCTCGGACAATGGTCCCTGAAGACTTAGGGGGCTCTGCAGTCCCCTGCAGGAGGTACAGCAAACCTGTCCCATCGGGGAGCGGAAAGAAGATGGAGCCCTAGAGACAATGCAAAAGGTTGGTCGGTTCCCCTGCCTTCACGGGCCCCTGTTCAGCTTCTCTGCTCCTGAGCGCATACATACATGGGCCAGAGCTGCTGGTATGAGGACACTGCCAGGGTAAGCCGGCCATTTCCACCAGCCTAGACAGACGCACCCCAGTGCAAGGCTGATCCTGCAGCTGTGAAGAATCAATAGAGGGGGCTCCTGCTCTCCTGCTCACCCCTCCTGCTGGTGGGACAGAGGAGAGGTGGCCGCATGGCTGGAGAAAAGCAGGCGGGGTCAGGCTGTCAGTGCACAATGCTGATTCTCAGTGCGGTACGGTCACTTTGGGGCTGTGCACAGCTGGCAGAGGGACTGGCCGTGCCCAGAGATGCTGCAGCAGCAGCGGAGTGCAAAAGGAGCTGTACTCTGTGCAGATCTGCATCCCAGGGTCTGCCCCCAAAGTCTCCAGCTGTTGCCTTAGAAGCAGTCTTGGCAGTCACCATTGCTAATAAAGCTGGGGGCTGGTGAGCTTTCTCCCATGGCCCTCGTTATCCCTGCCATGATGCTCCAGCTCCCATACAAGCCTCTCTCCTGCAGATTCCCCAGTTGAGAGTGTGCAGCCTCCCTCTGTCCTCACTCCTGATTCATAGCCTGCTTCCCCTGCACACCCGCCCTTCCCTTCACCTCCCAGGGAGCTGCTAGTAGATTGCAGATTGGCATCCTCAGGCCAGCAGAAAGCTTCCCCAGCAAACCTGCAGCGGCGGTGACCTCCAAGTGCGTGGGACATCTCGGAGAGGCCTTTTAGTGGGGCACAGTGCTTAATTCAGGCAGCAACAGCAGCTCTCTGTGAAAGCAGCCACACCTGGTGCAGTCCTGGTTCAGTAGCTCAAAGTCTGTCTACACTGTAATCAGAGGGGTGACTGCGGCATGTGCAGCCATACCCAAGTGAGCTCTGACCTAGCTAGCTCTGAGAAAAACAGCAGAGATGTCTTGGCAGCATGGACTAGCAGCGAAATCCAGTCGTGATTTTATAGACCTCAATCGTATCCCTCCTCCATCTTCTCTTTTCCAAGCTGAACAGTCCCAGGCTTTTCCCCTCTCTCCTCACATGGAAGCTGATCCATCCCCCTAATCATTTTTGTTGCCCTTCTCTGTACTTTTCCAATTCTAGTCAATCTTTTTTGAGACGAGGCCACCAGAACCGCATGCAGTAGTGGCATTATGATATGTTCGGATTATCTATCCCTTTCTTAAGGGTTCCTAATATTCTGTTAGCTTCTTTGACAGCCACTGCATATTGAGCAAATGTTTTCAGAGAACTATCAACGATGACGCCAAGATCTCTTTCTCGAGAACAGCTAAGTTAGACCCTATCAGTTTATAGGTATAGTTGGGATTATGTTTTCCAATGTGCATTACTTTGCATTGATCAACACTCAATTTCATCTGCCATTTTCTTGCCCAGTCACCCAGTTTTGCAAGTTCCCTTTGTAACTCTTCACAGTTAGCTTTGGACTTTACCAGTCCATTTTGAGTAATTTTGTATTGTCTGCAAACTTTGACACTTCACTGTTTACCCCTATTCATAAGTTGACCAGCACTGGTCCCAGTACAGATACTGCTACTTAAAAACCCCAGGGGTACCCTGCTATTTACCTGTCTCCACTGTGAAAACTGACATTTATTCCTACCTTTTGTTTCTTATCTTTGAGCCAGTTAGCGATCCAGGAGAGGACCTTCTCTCTTATCCCATGACAGCCTAAGTTGCTTATGAGCCTTTGGTGAGGACCTTGCCAAAGGCTTTCTGAAAGCCGAAGAACACTCTATCCAGTGGATCGCCATTGTCCACGTGCTTGTTGACACCCTCAAAGAATTCTAATAGATTGTTGAGGCATGATTTCCCTTCACCAAAGCCAGGTTGACTCTTCCCAATATACTGTTGTGATGCTGGGCCAGTAAGCAACCAGCAGGGTAAATGACCCAAAGTCAACCTTTAGAGACATGTTAGAAAAGTATGTAAATGGTAATTAGGGCAATTCCAAGAAATAGTTAATATAGCCATGCTAAACGGACTAGCGCTTTGAAATGCAAACCTGTATTGTTAGCGAATTAGAGGTAATACTAATTGTATGTGTTCACTTATAGCTTGCTAGATGTTAGCCATGTAAACAGACAATTCCTGCTGTCACTATAGCTAGCAGGGAGGGATAGCTCAGTGGTTTGAGTATTGGCCTACTACACCCAGGGTTGAGAGTTCAATCCGGGGGGGCATTTGGGGAACTGGAGTAAAAATCTGTCTGGGGATTGGTCCTGCTTTGAGCAGGGGTTGGACTAGATGACCTCCTTCCAAGCCTGATATTCTATTGATTCAGAGATCAAAAGGGAATATTAACATTTAGATGAAATGTGGGAGTGATAACACCATTGTCTATATTTCACCTTAAAGTTTGTGGTAAATTGTCTATAAACTGCTTAATGGATAATTACCTTATGCTGATGAATGCAACTAATTACTTGGGTATGCATAGAAGATAGTTAGTTCTACTTCAGAGTTGCTATTCTTCACCCAAGGAACCCCTACTGTAAAGAGGCTACCGCAGCCTACCAGAAAACTGTACAAAAACTCTTGGGACCTGATCCTCTTCTCTCAGATCTGCTTGATGCTTCATGCGGGGGAAGGTTGAGTCATAAGACTGAGATCTCCAGTCCCATCTGGATCCCCCTGTGTATGGAACATTGGCCTGAACCTATGGACTAATTCTAAGAACTATATGCAACTCCAAAGCTCCCCATCTCTGCTGTGAAACTGATCTCAGAACGGTACTCATGTCTGTATGGATACTGATCTTTTAACCAATACTCACTCTCTTTTCTTTTTCAATAAATTTTAGTTTAGTTAATAAGTATGTATTTGCTATAAGCCTGTATTTGGGTAAGATCTGAACTAGTCATTAGCCTGGGAGGTAATGTGTCTGATCTTTTGGGATTGGTAGAACTTTCATATTTGACTGGGCTGTCTGGGAGGGAGCCCAAAGGCTGGGTTGCTTTTAAGGGAATTGTGTTTTGACGTCTGTGTAACCAGTAAGATATTATAGAAGCTGTTTTGTGGCTAACTTGGTGGATCTAAGTATTGGGAATTATCTGCCCCATTCTTTGCAGTTTGCCCTAATTGAATATCCTCAGTGCGGCCCCCCTGGGTCCCTGGTCACAACTGTGTCTGGTTGAAACTAGAGTAAAGAAGAGAATTATCAATCTGTCTGGTACTGAAATTAGGTTTACCGGCAATTGCCAGGATCGCCTCTGGAGCCTTTTAAAAAAATTGGCTTTACATTCCAGTCATCTGGTACAGAGGCTGATTTAAGCAATAGGTTACATACCACAGTTAGGAGTTCTGCAATTTCATATTTGAGTTCCTTCAGAACTGGTCCCAGTGACTTATTACTGTTTAATTTACCAATTTGTTCCAAAGCCTCCTCAACCTTGGACAGTTCCTTAGATTTGTCACCTAAAAAGAATCGCTCAGGTGTGGGGATCTCCCCCATATCCTCAGCAGTGAACACCAATGCAAAGAATTCATTTAGCTTCTCTGCAGTGGCCTTGTCTTCCTTGAGTGCACCGTTAGCACCTCAATCATTCCGTGGCCCCACTGCTTGTTTGGCAGACTTCCTGCTTCTGATGTACTTTAAAAAAAATGTTGCTTTTAGTTTGTGTGTCTTTTGCTAGTTGCTCTTCATATTGTTTTTTGGCCTCCCTAATTATACTTTTACACTTGACTTGCCAGAGTTGATGCTCCTTTCTATTTTCCTCAGCAGGATTTGACTTCCAATTTTTAAAGGACGCCTTTTAGTATCTAACCACTTCTTCTACTCGGTCGTTCAGCCATGGTGGCATTTTTTTGATCCTCTTGCTGGTTTTTTTTTAATGTGGGGAATATGTTTACTTTGAGCCTCTATTACGGTAGTTTTAAAACGTTTCTATGCCGCTTGCAGGGTATTTTTGTACTCTTGTGACTGTTCCTTTTAATGTCCATGTAACTAGCTTCCTCATGTGTGTGTAGTTCCCCTTTCTGAAGGGAAATGCTACTGTGGGGGTTTCTTTGGTATTTTTCCTCCTAAAAGGATGTTAAATGTAATTACATTATGGTCACTATTAATGAGCGGTTCAGCTATATTCACCCACTGAACCAAACCCTGTTCTCCACTTATGACCAAATTAAGAATTGCCTCTCCCCTTGTGTGTTCCAGGACTAGCCACTCCAAGAAGCAGTTATTAATGGTGTCTCGAAATTTTATCTCTGCATCCCATCCGGCGGCGTCATGTTCCCAGTCAATAGGGGAATAGTTGAAATCCCCCATTATTGTGGGGTTTTCTGTTTTTGTAGTCTCTCTAATCTCCCTGAGCATTTCACAGTCACCATCACTATCCTGGTCAGGTGGTTGGTACATTCCTACTGCTATATTCTTACTAAAGCATGGAATTTCTATCCATAGAGAGTTGATGGTATTGATTCAGATTTTTATTATTTTCACAACCCTGTGCTCACTTTCACATATAGTGCCATCCCCCACCTGCACAACCTGCTCTGTCCTTCCGATATATTTTGTACCCTGCTATTACTGTGTCCCGTTGATTAACATCATTGCACCAAGTTTCTGTGATGCCTAGTATATCAATATGCTCATTTAGTACCAGGCACTCAAGTTCACCCATCTTGGTATTTAGACTTGTAGCATTTGCACACAAGCACGTATAACATTTGTCAATACTGTATGTAGTTGTCTGCCTTCCTGGGATGTAACTGAACTTTTTTGGTTGACTGTTTCTCTTCAGTTCCTACCTGTACTTTATCAATTTCTATCTTCTCCTCTTTACTAGGAGAATCCCCGTTAATAAATCCTCCCCTGTGGAAGTCAGAACCACATGCTGCTCCGCACCTGTCGGCTGTTCCCCAGCCCTTAGTTGAAAAATTGCTCTACGACCATGATTCATTTTCAGTTTACATGCCAGCAATTCGGCTCTGTTTTGGTTTAGGTGGCGCCCATACTTCCTGCATAGGCTCCCCCTTCCCCCAAAGGATCCCCAGTTCCTAATAAATCTAAGTCCCTCCTCCGAACGCCATTGTCTAAGCCATGCATTGAGACCCTGTAGTTCTGCTTGTCTTCTCAGCTCCGTGAGCATTTCAGAGAACACTATTGTGGAGAGACCTGGACTTCAATCTAAATTTTGCCTCCAGGACCTCTCTCCTACTTTTCCCTGTGTCATTGGTACCTACATGTACCACGATCACTGGATCTGCCCCAGCACTGCAAGTAAGTGTATCTAGGTGTATTGAGAGGTCCGCAACCTTTGCGCCCAGCAGGCAATGCAGCATGCGGTTCTCCCAGTCATCACAAACCCAGCGATCTACATTTATCAGAATTGGTTTCTTCATTACTATTACCTGTCTCTCCCTAATACCTGGTGTCCCTTCTCCGAGAGGGAGAGGTCTCAGTGCAAGGAATACCATGACATGATGTTGTGAAGGCCAAGACTATATCAGGGTTCAGAAAAGAACTAGACAAGTTCATGGAGGATGGATCCATCAATGGCTATTAGCCAGGATGGGCAGGGATGCAAAACCATGCTCTGAAGTGTCCCTAGCCTCTGTTTGCCAGAAGCTGGGAATGGGTGATGGATGGATCACTCCATGACTGCCTGATCTGGCATTCCCTCTGAAGCATCTGGCATTGCCCACCGTCAGATATGACTACTGGGGTAGAGGGACCATTGGTCTGACCCAGTATGGCCATTCTTATGTTCTTATGACATCACCCGGAAGGATGGAGCTCATTTCAACACTCAAATCCTCTGAAAATCTTTGTTTTAAAGCTTGTAGTGGCTAATTTGATACACTGGTTACTCTCCCAGAATTAGTGCTCTGTGTTATCAGGTCTCTAGTAGTGGTTACAAAGGTCTGGTGCAATAAAAGAAATGGCTGCAAGTTCTCTCACACCTCCACAGCTCACGTACCTGATGCTTCTTGTTCTCCACGTTCATGGTGAGGGGTCTGTAAGTGATCTCGTAGGGCTTGTTTTGCTGATGGGCCTCTACCCTGATGAATTCAGGCCCTTTCCATTGTTCCCCCTCAATGATGGGCTGCAGGTTCCATGACTGGTTGCTCCGGTTAGACAGCATGATAGTCTGGGTGTGTTTTCCACGCACCTGACATGTGAAATTCATCACCTGCAACAGAGGAACACAGAGAGACCTCATCCCCTGTAGGGAATCCATTCCATTCACCGATTGCATTGTGGTGTGGGGGGGTGCAGGTACTCCTCACCCATATGCAAAGACACGAAAGGGAGAGGGGTGGAGGACAGACAGGGAGGCAGGCATGTATAAACACAGACACAGAGCTCTCCCTTATAAGAGCATTTTGCAGATTTTCATGAAGAGAACTGTCTCTCCCTAATACCTGGTGTCCCTTCTCCCAATTCTGCAGTCCTTATTAACACAAGCAGGCCTACCGAAGGCAGGGGGCTACTCATTGTAAGTGCTGCAGAATGGGCAGACATCAATTACAGTCCTCTTTGTGGACTGGCTGCTTGGCTTGGTCTGAGTTCCGCTTTTGGTGCCAGAGTTCCCATTCATGGCTCTCCCCTCACAAGGTGCTGTCAGGCCTACACTGGAGCTACAGAGCTGGGCATGAGTGTCCATGTCATTACAGAAGTTTAAGATCCTCACTTGGACCTAGTCCTAGAATTAAAGCTCTGTCCTGCAGCAGTTTCCACCTGTGCTATTGCTGTTCCCATTTGGACCCTGGGGGAATATGCTGTGCATCTGCAGCTACACTGCTGGGTTGGGAACCAAGCCAGCTTCTAGGCTGGGCTTGGGAATGGCACAGCGGGTCCCTCTCTGCTAAGGTTACCTCTTTGGTCATAGGCACCACCACGCAGTAGCCAGTCAGAGTGAGCTTGAGCGCTTCGCTGCCCTGGATGCAGCACTGCAGGTTGTCATAGTGGATATCCGGGTTCAGCTCACAGGGATGAAAGGTCACTTCGAAGGGGACTTCCATGCCTGGGGAGATGTAGCCCTCCACCGGGCTGATGGAGAAATCTGGCTCAAAACTCTTGATGTCCCATTTAAATCTTTCCAAGAAAAGCACAAAGAAGAAAAGGAGAGATTTAAAGCTGGGCTCACAGCGCATCCCAGCCGGGCTGGGAAAGATGGGAGCAGGGTTCTCTAAGCATCTCTAGGACTTTCTGTGCTGTCAGGAAGCTATAGATACAGCCCTTGGGCACAGTTGCAATAGCATGAAAGGTGGCTATGGGCCTTCACAGACACGTAGGTCCCGAGTCTGCTGTCCTTACTCACGCGGCAGCGAGCACTGGCACCGAGTTAAATGGGATGATTTGGCTTGCGTGAGTATCTCAACAACATTGGAGGCTACAGAACCAGGCCTGTAAGGAGGCCATGTTCCACTACTCTGAAGGCATGTTACATACTGTTCTGCTACCTCTGGGTTCTGGGGACAGCACGGCTCAAGTAAAGATCTCCTGGGGCTCAGGCTCACCACAAACCCTCAGTGGACTAAGCCTTGTGCAAGGACGCTACATCACCTGACTCCTATGTCTCCTGTGTTCTGCATGAGGACGCGCCGGGAAGCCTGGCTCCGCTGCACCACTGCTCCAAAGGGGATATGATCCTGGTCCAAGCTCACTTCAATGCCCTGGCAGCAGCCCCGCACCACGAAGAAGGAGCGCAGCAGCCCCATGCACTCGAGCATCACCTCCTCTGCGAACAGCGGGATGCGGCACTTTGGGGAGAAAGTCACCTCTACGCTGCAGGTGCCCCCTTTGGGCTTCAGAGTTATGTCGCTGGATGGAGACAAGCTGAGAACCTGCCCAGACAGATGGCCAAATGTGATGTTTGACCACTGGGAACACAGAGCCCTCAAGAGCTATTGAGAGTAACAGGAGAGCTTTCCCAGAGCTTCTTAGTTTCATTCCTGTGCTACTCCCATCATTATTAGCCCAATCCCAATCGCTCCCTGGAGTAGTATGTCCCTACAGTGCCTCTCGTCAGCTGCCGTTACATCTATGCCAAGAATGGACCTGTTTGGTGGATGGGTGGGAAGGAGGGAAAATACTTGCTCTTCCATAGCATTTTCCAGCCAAGGATCTCAAAATGCTTCACGGACCCCTGGCAGGTAAGTTAGCTTTAGTTTACAGAAGGAGATACTGAGTCACAAAGAGGTTAAGTGACTTGTCCAAAGTCACACAAGATTCAGCAATGAGTCAATGGCAGAACTGGACCACTGGAGCAAACTTCCTCTTCTATTCGTCAGTGTTGCACTGTTAATGTCCCATGTGGTTGTTACCTAACTCTATAAACAAACCTAACCCATAGCTGGGACTGAAACTCAAAATTCAAATCCAGATCTGCATCTCCTCCAAGTTTAGTGGTGGGAGTTTGTATATGGAGCCTTTGCCCAAGCCTACCTCTACCGTAGGCAGAACCCCTCTAACCCTTAATGCTTGAGAGAAGCTGTTATCCGTCCTCTTCAATATGTTTTAGTCCATTCTCTTTGTATATTCAAGTCCCACTGCTCTCCCCATCCTGGAGTTCTGGTCACAGCTTCCAGGAGGGTCTGGCCTGGGGACTGTATCATACTGAATAGTCATTTCTTTATTGCTCCTTAGAATGCTGTGTCTTTCCCCGGAGAATCACACCTGGAATCGGGGTGCTCAGGGGCTGGCAGCAGTTCTAGTGGGGAAATGTGCCTGGAGTTTTCAGGGAGGATTCTGACAGCTGGGAAATGGTTTGGAGCTCTAGTCTGGAAAAGGGGAGGAAGGAGGCAAATCTGCAGGTTGGAGATGGTTAGTGGCTGGGGAGGGAATTAGTAGCCGGGAGGTGGATTATGAGGTATTTGTCCCGATTGGGATTGGTAGCTGGGCTGTATTAATGTGCCTCATTCTTGACCTGGAGAAATCAACTTTAGGGGTCACAGGGTAGTTCAGTCTCCAGGGCCAATTCATACCTTAGCTGATTTGCTAAGACTGGCAATAAAGGAAACACTTCGAGCCAATTGCAGGGGTGTGTTTTCTTATGCTATTAACACTTGTTCACAGGAAACTGGACTGAGGCATTTCACACATGTCACAAAATAGCCTCCGGTCAGCAGAGATTTCTGGTCAGTTCTAGCCGGAGCTGGATTTGAACGTGCACTGTAGAGGTGCAAGGCACCCGACCCTATTAATCCCCAGAGCCCTTCCGTCCCTTTCCTGCTGGCAAACAACACTGAACCATAGAATTCAGAACAGGGAAGTGGAAACCCTGAAGAAGCTAAGGTTGGGTCACAATCTGCATGGACTGTTTGAACATATTCTGCTTTAACCCTTTAGCATCTGTGATTCATTGCTCTCAGAGTGATGGAAAATCCAAAGTCCTTAGGTCAAAGGCTTTGGATTGATGCCATTTTACTATGAGTCCACGGGTGATTACTGTATGAATTCATACGCTAAGCTAGCACAGAAGGAACTCTCAGGATGGGAACCTAGTTACCCTCACAGCAGATGGACTAGTTACTACTGTAGATCTCAAAGTCATTGTCTTGCATGTCCAGGAAGCCTGTAACCTAACCTTGGAGTCTATATGTTCAATTAACCAGCACAAAGGAATCCAAGTCCTTTTGGGCAGGGACCAGCCTTTTAGTGATTGTACAAGTAGCCAGCGATGTTACTATAGCTACATGGGTACACGATAAAGAAGATCTAGGTATGGCTCAAAGCAGTCATGCAAAAGCCTACAGGCCTCAAGCCTGTAATAGAATAGCTTAGCCAAAGTAACTAAGGCCTAAAGACTCAACATTAGCCACCAAAGGCGATGCTTGGGGGTGTGTGCAGAGTAACATGCCCCCCAGACTGGTCTGCTGGGTGGGGGGAGGGAGAGGGGCGCTGTCCTTCTCACACTGTGCCTGTCCCCCCGGCACATTCAGCACCTGTCCCTGCAGGCCCAGACATTTCTCACGCCAGCTGCTGGGTCCCTGCTCTGTGCAGCGCAGCAGCTGCCTGAGAGAGCCTGGCTGGAGAGGTGGCAACGGCAGGCTGCCCCCCACCCAGGCCACGCTGCTGGGGACAGGGGCTGAGCGCGCCAGAGCCCCCTTCCCCGGCATGCTTGGCCCATCACTGGCAGCTGAGCCCAGGCAGGGAGCAGGCCGCCGCCTCAGCCTCCCCAGCCAGGCTCTCTCA